CGGGTTTGTTTCTCGGCCAATTAGTACCACATTTCAAGATAAAGTACTGATCTAACTCTTCTTGAAACATGTGAGCTGATATGTGGGCCGGAGTTGATTCGCTAAGAAGCCACTTTTGAGCGCACAACTCCCTTAAAATCGCAAAATTTTCTTTATTCTAGTGCCTCCTCATTTGAACTCGCTCTCCATGGTAGCCGCCAATAAGCTGCTTCACCTGGATGGAACAACTTCAACTCATTGGTTGCTCTTCTCACCTACACACCATCATCTGGTGTTCTATTTTCTCGATGTGTTCAGCAGTATAGTACAGCAACAGTTCGACTGCTTTAGCTATTCTAATCTGCAATTCTTTTGGTCTGTGCTGTTTTTGTCTCTGAAGTAAGTCAGTAATACCCGTTAGTTGTGCACTTGTTATTGCTACGTTGTGTGTGTTTATACGAGCAGTTTAGGAAACTCAAATTCTATCCATACGGTCATCCGCTAACGGATCATGTTTACTGATTCGCCAACCATCTGCTTCGGAGTCTCTCACCGCTAGAAAGAATAAAGGTCAGTCTCTTCCACGGGCCTCTCTGGGATGAAATCAGATGGGCAGTATGGATACATTTGTTCATTTGCTCCTGAAGTTGAAGTATAATTCAATCTCGTATGCCATTTGACACCAAAAGCCCCTTTTTTAGGATGCCGAAATCGCTGGTATGCCTGACCAGGCAATGAGGCGAGACACAAGAAACGAAGACTGTGAAAATGAGTACGAATCTGGATCTGATCAAGAACAATAACTGAGATTTCATATTTCAAAGTTTATTAAAGCATTTATGACAATGTAGCAACATAAACTAACATAAACTTGGGAACTAGCACTTTTATGATTACGAGCAAACGATGAAGAATAGCAGTACAGTAGTGGGTAAGACTGGGGTAGTCAGGTATAACGACGTCGCTTTGGCTATCGCCACATGTACCAACAATTGCGACTGGTGCAGGACAGCAAGATACTGAGCATCGTTTCGCGAGCCTACAAAAGAATAACTGCGACGCGTACGTGTTGAGCCTAAACACGCAGAAAGCGACGATCTTATAACACACGCAAATAACAGGTGGAAAGTTTCATTATTTCACGTGAACGACAACCAACCCAGTATAGATAAAATCCTTCGATCGGAATATCGTCGAGTGACTTTTTACACGGTGACACTGTATTGAGATGCGTTCTGCAGAACGTGACCATTCCGCCGGAAACAGGTTTACATTTCACTGAAAAAAAAATCGGTTCGTCAAGATACACCAGATAAACGGAATTGCTGATAAATGCTGCTGCAATGGTTCCAGAAAAAAGGAAGGCACAAACTCATTGGAAAAAAAAACTAAGCTCCTGCCAAAGGACTACGGGTTCGTGGAGCAGCTAACAAAGCAAAGATGAAGGAGATAATTTTTCGACCCTGTACGAATGCTTT